GGACTGTTTAAAAGCGGAGCCCAATTTGGGTTTTATGTGGGTGTACTTGCAGAATGCTATAGAACCTTAGTAAGACTTTCAATGTTACTTGGGGAGTGCCTGCTTCGGAAAGATAACGACATGCCAAACGGTCTGGCATGCATTAACGCATAGGCTGAGTAGGTCCTCACTTAGCCTATGGTAAGATGGGCGGACAGTGGTGGACCAGGGTGAGGGCCGATAAATTACATTTACAATTACAATTATAATTAGTAATGTTTAACGCATGCACACTAGGGGATGCATTGCCGTATAAAGTTGTTTATTAATTTACTCTAACACAGTCCGCATCTTGCCGTGCGGATCTATTTGCTTTTTGCTGAAGGAAGTGTTGCTACTACCTATGCTTGGCATACACATTTTTGGTCACGGACTGCTTATTTGCTAATAACTTTGCACACAGTTGACGAAACATAGTTCTTTTTGAAGCTATAGATAGAATAGAGTTTAGGCTTAGTTTAGATACGTAAAACAAAGTTGATATCAATTCTAGTAATCAACTGTATTTGTTTTTGCGTTGTAAAATTGAAATGAGAAATGCTCGCTGAACATCTCGGACTTTAAGGGGGTATTCCCGATCTTTTTTTTCAAAAAATCAAATTTTTTTTTTCACGTTTTTTTGTACTTTAGACTATATACTTTCATCCCCCCAAGCCGTTTTCCGATCAGCGAATTCGGTGTCCAGGCATAGCTGACTAATGGTAAGAACCCCCAAATGGTTTTAACTAAAGTCAAAACTTTAAACGCGTTTTTCTCGAAACCACATTTTTTTAATCGGGCGAAGATTTTTCTCAGAAACTATAAGAGATATTGACTTGAATCTTTGCGCATTTTGTTCCTTATTAAATTCTTTGGAGCTTCTCCCACTTTCAGCCAAAAATATTAACATTTAACATTGTTTGAAGCACCTTAAAGCTGCAAAAAAGCGGGCTAAAAATCGCCTGTTTTTTCATCTGGCCGCCATTTTGTTAATTTGCAAGATTTTTTGCTGCCAACGGGAGAAGCTCCAGAGAATCTTATGCAGATTATTAATTTCATCACGAAATCTGTTTCAGATGAAGCCGTTCCGAGAAAAGTCTTCGCCCGTCCAGGCGTTTGCGGCGAACAGGGGTCTGTTTGCCGCGATTTTGTGACGTCAATAATGTCTTTTTTTATGTCGAAAAAAATTTATTTGTAAACTTTAATGTTCAATAAACAAGAATCCCAAAGAGTTAGGCGCATTACTATTCATTTTCCTTGAAAAAAAATTAATTGAAAAACAGGCCGAAAAAAGGCAAAAGATTGGGAATACCCCCTTAAGATAAAAAAATCATTGGTGTTGATTCAAATGTCAATGTCTACTCTTTGCATCTCAATAATAAACTATGATCCTAATCTATCAATTACTTTAAAGATAAAACAAATTTCAACAACTGAGTGAAAAGTTTTTAACAAATGAGCAGTTGGTGTGTACAACTGTGTATGCTAAAAAACTACAATAAATTTCAACAGCATTTCTCAGTACTCAATATAACCTGCAAATGTTCTACCTTGTTCGACTCTTATTGCTCTTCGATCCTTGTTTGGACCCTACCCGATATAATCCTGCTTGGACATCAACTTGGAAAATTCCTCTTTGATCCTTCGAATTATTATAGTAATCTGCTTGAAAATCGATTTGGAGAAGAAATATAAATTTCTATTTTATTATTCCTCTTCAATCCTTGTTTGGACCCTACCCGAGGTAATCTACTTGGATATCAATTTATTTATTTTTCCTCTTCGATCCTTCGGATTATTATAGTAATCTGCATGAAAGTTGATTGTGAAAAACGTTTTGCTGCCGCCATGGCACCTACACGCAAGAGAAAAGGGCAATCTCTTGATCCTCCTTCTGATGAAATTTATTTGAGCAATTAATTTGATATGCTAACGTAAACTTTCCCAAATTAATACTTAGAAACCACTTCCGATTTCCATGCTCTTCACACGGAACTTTTGAACTTCGTGAAATTCAAGTTTTCACTGCAAATTGACCGTCGGGGTGAATGCCGTGAATTGGCTGAAACCTTGGACGGATTCAAACGTCTTCTCAAGTATCTTACTGATAAGCAGCATCATTTTTTTACTTACGACACCAAAACTGAACGTGTGTTCATGGTTGTCATGAAAGGTCTGCCCAGTGGTGAATCCCTGGATCAGATCAAAGATGAATTGACAAAATTACTGAGTTGAACCATGGAGGTAACTCTAAGACTAGAAGGTCCCGAAGAAACGTGCTCAACTTTTTGGCTTAGCTGGTACTATCTTCGGTCCCAAACTAATCGATGCACCCCTCGAAACATAGGAAAATCCACGAACCCCTCATTTTATCTGTCAAACTTTCGATAGTTTTGTATTGATTGTTGGTTGAACCACTTCTAGTAATCAAAATGAAAATAAAATTGGGATTTCCGATGATTTTTATTTAGTTCACTTCATGTCTAGTGAACTAAACAACCTTAAGGCCTTAGAAAAAGCTAGCCTTATGCTCCATGTCCGAGTGAAGTGGGAGCACTTCAGGAATACTGGAGGAAACTTCCAAGACCTCAGCCAGTTCCGTAAATGCCAGGGATCACGGAACTAAAAATTGCTTCATTCAATCTAAATTCATGAATTCTGTTGATTCTTATCACGCTTAGGACGACTGTCCTGTGAGGGAAACTCCTAAAAAATTTAAATGTTCAAATTGTGGTGAAAACCACAAATTCAATTTTTGGGAATGTAAGCCTCGCAAAGCAATCACAATCTACAATCTCGTTCTAAGCTACAGGTAGGAAACGCTCCACGTTCCCGGCCAAGTACTATTTTTTCTGCTGGTAACAATGGTCAGCAAGGAAAAAAATCTACATTCGTAACCGTACACACTTAGATTTTTTACAGGAGTCAGTATTTTTTTACTGGGTTTTTGAAGTACTGAAAAACTCGGTTAAAATTCAAATGACCGTTATTTGTAAAGATTCGATAAAATCGACAAATTTTATTTTTCATTATTAAACCGGGTTAACAAAAGTAAATACGTAAATTTTCGTTACACATTTTCACAACTTTGAATTTTTCACAGATTTTTTTTTTAATTTTACCGAACAGTTCCGCAATTCAAAAACTCGGTAAAAATTACGGATTGGATAAGTGTGTACTTACAAATAGCTTCCCTGCTTCAAATTCTTCATCTATACCAACCAGGGCTCTACATTTTCGAAGCTCTAAAATGAACTCGTGTTTTGTTTCTCTCATACATACGTGTTCGACGCTTCATTTCTATAACGCCTAGCTAGACTATCAGCAAGAAACGAAAATAAAAAAGCAGGACGCTTAGAAGGAAAGGCTGGCTGTGAAACTTCTCGTCGTTGCTTTGCTCGTCGCTTTCAATGTAACTAACGTCGATTTTCTACTCAAACGAAACCTTATTATGGCTTTCAATCCCCTTTCACGAACACTCTATCACCGCTCTTTCAATTTGTTTAAAATGCGTTATGTCCCGTTTTCGATCATTTTCTTTAGATAAATATATGGATGGAAGATAAATTAAAAATATTACGTGTAATCTTCAAGTGTTTTCACGTGAGAAATGCTTTAAATGTGTTATTTTATTTTCCGTCATATACGTCATGAAACCTCTGTTGATGTGTTTCATGAAAGAGAAAACTATCAAAGTCGAGCGCTCTTTCGCTCATCCGTTTCACCGAAGCTTGAAAAGAAGACCGGAAAAGCGACGGGAAAAAGAGAGACAAGCGATTGAACATTCGTTTGTGCACGCCAACTGAGGTTCTAGAATGCTGCGAAGCTGTTCGACTTTAACAGAAAAAGAAAGCCAGCAGTCTCTTCGTCGCATCGATTTGGTCGATTGTGACGCCCTGATACCAACTGCTTACAATGTTCAACAAGTAAATGGAGCTACCTATGATGCTATTGCAACTGGTAGAAATTGAAATCAAAAGTCTACCCAACATAATTCTAACGAACATTTTGATGATTTTGACTTAGGTAGCATTTCTGCTCCTTAACTGGAATTTATACAGAAATCATTAACCGACATACTGATATGCTAAAAACAAACTCCATGTTTGATTTCAAACTGGAGTAAAATTTGCGAATGTCATGACTTTGAAATTCAGTTCTGATCACCTTCAACTAGCTTTTGAAATATCACAAGAAATAATTTCTAAATCCAACGGCACTACTTTCAATTACCATAGAGCTGATTGGGAGCAATATCGAACATTTATGGAATATAGCGTTGACCAAAACATTCCTTTGCAAACCAAATATGATGTTGATTATGCTCTTAATTCACTTAATACTTCTGTAGTTCAAGCTACCTCAGTACCAAATCTTCAGCTCTTGATCCGTCTAAAAAATGCCCACAGGAGGCAATATCAAAGAACGCCCGATCCTGCCATGAAAGTTATCTGGCGGGATACTAAAAACAAATCAAAAAGCGATTCTCTGTCCTGAAGAACAAAACTTTTGAAAATAATGTTTAGAAATTAGACGCGAGTTCCCTTTTGGAACCTCACAAAAAAATTAAAAAAAAACTCAAGACTTCATAGGCCACTATAGGAACACATTGCACTAACGTACCTCCACTATTGGTGTTTTTACCCTATTGATTGTAGCAAATTATAATTAGGGGAAACGCTCCTATAAATGCGGTACATTAAAAGCGTTAGGTTCCTATAGTTTTCCACTTCTAACGTACCGCAACTATAGGAGCGTTTACCCTACTAAGATAGGATTATTTTCGTTCGGCATATATTCATCAATTTATCGGTAGTTATTAAATATTTACAAATCATTTTTGGAACGTTGCATCTTAGGCTCATTGTTTAACGGTACGTATGTATATTTTTAAAAATCAAGATATGTTTTAGAAAAATTGAAGGGTGCTCACCCTACCCTACTAACAGATTGGAAACCCCAGTCCATAAATCAATACTCACTTGTATGAAATTTTTCGCTTTCTCCCACTGGCTGATCCATTCTCCACACAACTCTCACTGCCACTTTCGTGCCGATGGTGCCCATGGTCGACACCTATATGAAGACTGCCGGCACTTCCCGGCGGTAAGCCTTGCTGATGGCTGCTAAGATTGGATACGGCGGCCATGCTTCCTTGTATAGAATCCAACATGACCGTCGATGCTGTGGTCGCCGTCAAATGTTCATTTCCACCGGTATTCGCACTGTTTGAAAAACAAATCAACAAAAGAAGCAAACAAAAAAGTTAGTAGCTCATAATCGAACTCTGTGCTTCAAGGGGATAACAACCAATTTATCTGATTAAGCATTTTTCGCGATTGCTGGCGATGATAGAGCATCGTGGAGTGTAAGATCAAATAGCAACGCGATTGTTACGTCAATAATAACTAAATGCATTTAATAGAGTTTTTGGAATCCCATTAACAGAGGATTACAAAACCTCCATAGTGCATTGCTACGAAAAATCCACCAGGCAAGTCGTGATTATTACTTTGTTGGCGATCGTGATGCACCGATATTATAGAACACGTTATGGTGGTGGTAATTTTGAAGCAATCCTCCGGTACTGATGACAGGATTGCTGATCTCACCGGTGACCACCGGAACTACACCAGGCTGCTGTACCGACGAGGACGACACGGCTACGCCAAGTTCGGTCAACTGATGCGGTTTCAACTCATCCAACGTCAGAAACTCTCGCTCTTCTTCCGGCACTTGCAACAGATGATTGTAGGACAGATCTTGCAGGGAGAAATTTCTTGCCACCATGCTTTTTCGACACTTTTGGTTTATCTAATGGTCTTCTCTAGCACTTAAATACTGCTTTATTTCGAATGCTATATAATATCACATATTAACACAGAGAGAACAATTCAATCACTTTAAACATCAAAAGCGGTATTCCAGAAGCAGCAGCAGCAGGAGCAGCACAGAGGTTTGTTTTGATTCACACGATTCACTCAATGCAAAAATCGACGATAGTGCAGGGATCTATAATTAGCTCTACAACAACGATTAGCATTAGTATCATTAGTAAAACGGCGGTCTTTTAAATCCCGTCAATAAATCGTTAAGATGAAACTAATCTTCTTTCCTCTCGACTTGTCACTGAAAACCCCGGTCGTTGGTTAGGTAATCACTATAGGAACGTTAATAGTGCGAATTGTATTGTGCGGAAACTTATGATTTCATTTGTAGATGCAAATGATGCAATTGGACGAGGCTTGGTAGTTGCGGTTTCTTCCAGAAATAAAAGTATCAATTTACACGTTTAACCCTTTCATATCGATGATGTTTCTGAGCTACAAGGTTTGCATCAGCTAGGATAAAACAGGTATTTTTTTCAACATGCATTTTTTAGATACTGGGAAACATCATTCATTAGGGGCACACAATAAGAACAAGATTCTTCCTTCAGCTTCACTTATTCAGGGGCATTAATCTCAACGTATCCAGAAATCGTACAAATCTATCCGGGATGCAAGAAATCTAACCTCGAGTAAGTTAATCCATTGTTGAAGAATTGGATCAGTGGAGGAGCTTGGAAATGAGGGTTAATGGTCTCATCCGAGAGATTATTGGGTGTTTAGTTAAATGTTTTAAAGCCTCATGATTTTGCAAGTTCTTCATCTGAGGTCTTGCGTTTTTATGTCAATCAAGGATCTGAAATTTAAGTCTTAGTTAAGGATCATGAAAATTTATTAAATTCTTTCAGATATCACAAAAATAATATCATCCAAAGATACAAAAACAGAGGGTTTCTATATATTGATCGATTTCATAGGTTTCGAAGTCTTAAAATGATTCCAGAACCCGTTTTTTAACAAGCTCGAGGCCTCGATACACGCTATTCTGATTTTAAATGATTTTTATTATTTCTATATTGCTTCCCAGCCAAAAAAATTACAACTACACGCAAACCAAAAATCTATTACTTTCAAAGTTAGTTGCATTTTCTATCATCGTCCGCAGCCAATCCCACAGCGAATGATATAAGTTGACCTCGCAGACGATGTAATGGTATTTTGCCTTTTTCATTTCGTGTTCTGTCTACGCTTTTGACCACCAAGCTTTTTACTTATAACATTCGCACATAATCGCAATAATCGCCGTCTACTGTCAGGCACAATGCAAGAACTCGTATGGTGGCTCCTCAAGATTCCAGAAGCTGACTCGACGGAGCGGTAAGCTTTTAAAATGCAAATCTAAACCTATGCCTCCACTTAGGGCAAATCACGAAGTCTTCCTAACATCCGCTGAAAAGTCAAATGCTTTTCTCACCAGTTCAAGGTGGCGCATAAATTGGGTCAAACATTGTTATACCGATGGAAGCTTCGGTTGCGCAGAGTATCTCTCAAATCGCTACTGCTCCATGCGAGTTTCCCGAGGATCAAAAAATCATGTTAAACGAACTTAAACAAAGCATCCAAATCACCCGCAACATGAGGCCCCGGACGTCGATGGCCACTTCAACATTGTGTTGAAGATCCTCGGATCTAAATCTCACATTCTCTTGGTGAACATCTTCAATCGTTGTCTACAACTTGGATATTTCCCACCCGCCTGGAAGCTATCCAAGGTGGTACTTATCCTGAAGCCGGGTAAGGATCAGCCTCCTCTCATCAACAAGCGAGTCCACACCAGGGTTATCAAACACCGAGGAGAACAATATCTTTCTAGAACAAACAAAAAAGTTAGATTCTTGATTTTAATGATAATAGGAACCACCCTAGAATTCATTGTCATAAAAATGAGGGCCTAACTATAAGGAACAACTTTGTACAAGTCACTTTTAGTCTAAAGTTTCAATTTCAGGCTCAAAACATATCATTTCACCTAAATCTGCATTCTGGACCACTGTGCAATGCTACCGACGCCAGGGAGGCAGCTCCCACCCTTGGACCCTACATATCGACCCATCAACTCATGAACTGAGGACCAACGGGTTTTCTTCCCTTCCGAAGGAAAGCGTGATCAGAGATTTTATGCCTCAGAAAATCCCGGCGACGCCGACTGAGATTGAACCCAGGCCTTTTGGGGTGGTTAGGAAGGCACATTAGTTTGGAAGGTAAATAGCGACAAAGTAAAGAGATCGAGAATCCAATCGTAACCGGACGGTGACTTGTTCGACATGGATAACGGAAACCATGTAGAAATTTTGTGTACAGATTTCAGCAAAGCGTTTGATCGAATTGACTTACCCATGCTTCTCTTTAAATTTCAAAAGATGGGAATTCATTCCGTATTCCTCACATGACTTGAATCATATTTATCTAATCGCCATCAAATATTGAAATACAATCGAATGACATCAAATCCCGTTGATGTCACTTCGGGAGTTCCTCAAGGCTCCCAAGAAACCCTTCTATTTATTCTATTCGTCAATGACATTTCTTTCATGAAAGTTTTAACCTAAGCTGACGAAATTAACCTTTTTTTAAAAAAAAAAGATGCCGAAGGCATTAACACATTCAAAAAGGAAATACAGGTATAGCATACTTGGTATCACAAAAGCCTGCTACAGTTAAATGTAAAAAATGTAACTCGATTACCTAGTAAATAGTAGAAAACGAAACATACCCGATATAAAAATTACTTTAGGAAATCAGAACGTAAAAAAGTGTGATAAAGTCAGGGATCTAGGGGTTATTTTGGACTCAAAACTTACTTTCACAGATCATTATAACACAATTATTAACAGAGCTAACAACATGCTAGGTTTCATAAAACGTTTCTGCTAAAATTTTCACGATCCGTATACGATAAAAACGTTATACATTGCTTATTTAAGGGCGATATTAGAATATTGCAGCATAGTTTGGTCTCCTTTTTCTATCACACACGAAGAAGGAATAGAGTCCGTTCAAAAGCAGTTTCTATTGTTTGCACTCTGCATGTTAGGTTGGAATGCATTTCCTCTGCCATCTTACACAGCTCGGGGTATGTTCATAAATATCCAAACATTAAAAGAGCGTCGTGAATTTGCTATGATTTCATTCGTAAACGATATCGTATCACATCGCATTGATTCAATAGAACTATTGTCATCCTTAAATTTATATACACCATCTAGGCATCTACGAAATAGAAATGTATTTGCTACAAACCGCCATCGTACAAATTATGCCGAATTTGGACCCTTGAACCAGGCCAGCGCGCCTCCCTTAGCTCAGTCGGTAAAGGCGTAGCTACAAAGCAAGACCATGCTGGAGGTGGCTGGGTTCGATTCCCGGTCCGGTCTAGGAATTTTTCGGGTTGGAAAATTTCTCGACTTCCTTGAGCATAGAGTATGATTGTACCTGCCACACAATTATACTAATGCAAAAATGGTACAGGCATCGAAAGCTCTCAATTAATAAATGTGGAAGTGCATCTAGAACACTAAGTTGAGAGCACGCAATAAGCTAATAATGCCATACGCAATAAGCTTGAAATGCGAAAAAGAAGAAGAAGAACCAGGCCGGCGCCGGTGGTATAGTGGTAAGCGTGACTGCTTTCTCACCCCAATGGGTCTGGGTTCAATCCCAGCCAAGGTCGGTGGGATTTTTCTGAAGCATACAAATCTCTGGTCAAGTCTTCCTTCGGAAAAGAAGTAAAGCCGTTGGTTGAATGGGTGCGATATCTTACGCAGGTGTGGAAGCTGCCTTCCTGCACATTCGATTGCCGTCAATGGACGGCAATCGATGTTCGTTGGTGATTGACACTAGACTGCAGAAAACAACGAAAAACCATATTCGAACCGGGTAGTGTTTAACATCCATACCTCTCACGCCAAAGTCACGAGTTCAAATCTCATCCCCGGACAACTCACGAATGACCTAAGAGTGTTAAAGTAACTATAATTAAACAAATATAAACGATCCACTTTTATCCCAACCAACAGACGTAGAATTTTCTGTTGAACACGTAATATTTCTGCAGATTTGCTTCGTGGCTTCCTAATTAGATTATGCAATCTATATACCACTACTGGACGGACACTGGATCGAATTACACGTCGCAACTGGACGGCGAGTCTATCTAGCTAGGCCGTATGCTTCTTCCCACACGCATCAGGCCTGCGAAACAAACAGTGACTTTTCTTCGTTGACCTTCGCCTTTGGGCAGCTCCACTGTAATCCACAAAAGGTTGACGCACGATTTTGCCGGTCACTAGTAAATAAGCACCAATCAATCCTTTAGGTTTTTCAGTACCGATTCATCCAACGTTCCTGTCCTTAGCGCTCGCTCACATCCTTTCGCGGCGGATTCTCGCGGTATACTGTGCCGAACCAGACTGATGTACAGGGTAAAATATTCCTTTCGTAGTACCGCCTGATGGTCTGGCCTACAACCGAATGGTAAAGGTGTGCCAGGGAATAGGAAACATTCAAATGAACCAAACACCCGACGGAATGAACTCCGGAGCAGACGAGCAACAACTCAGTTAACGTCACCGATAAGAAGAAAATCCTGTTATGGCAATTTACCACCCATGACACCCTTCGTGGTGTACCCTTGGTGGGTGGGGAAAGGTTTTGCGATTGAAAGATAAACTACCTAGATCTGCATCATACTCAAAATATTACTTATGTGGTGTTTACATCTGTGCTTGTTTTCAAGCATAATGTTAACGGGGCGTCAGCATGAGATTTCAGGAACAACTGAAATCCTCGCTAGTTGGTTGTGCTGGAACAGCTAGTGAACTAGAATAAGTGTAAACAGCCGATTAGCAAAGCATTAGCAAGTAATTGCAGGTCTTTGTTAGTAAAATTACTAAATTTATCCAAATTTAATTTTTCTGATCTTGGTCATTCGAAATGTTAAAAACCTTAGAAAAAATTTCGGTGCCCACATTTCATTGCGGCAAAATTGCTTTTGTAAACGACGACTTTAACCACCGATTTCACGCAAATAAAAGCTCACTCCTGCAAATTAACGCCGCCAGTTGGTAGAGGAAACAATCAGTTTTAATTCACGAGAAATCAATGGCTAAAGCTATTGTTTACAAACGTAATTCCACCCGTATGAAATGTTGATGAAGATATTAATTTTAAAACCAAAATAATCCACATATCAGCGACGTTTATCATTCACAATGCAGTCAAAAAAGTCCACACGTCTGATCTTAGTGTTTAAACCCTTGATTTTGCATATGCACAATCACATTTATTTTAATTGTTTTTCACCATGGTTCAATGTGTTCTGCTTGATTTCTAATGTTTGAAACTTTGATGAATGTTGATAATATTCCTCTATAAATTCAAGTGCAATTTACATTGAATCACACTACTGTTCAAAACAGATGGATCTGAAGTGTATTGCATTTCAATGCGATGTGAATTGCTTGTTCTGCAAGGAAACATCCAAAATATGATTTGTGACTTCATCCTTATCAACACGCCGCATTTATGAGAACAACCGTGGCCTGCGGCGCCGGTGGTGTAGTAGTAAACGTGATTATCTCTCACCCCAGCAGGCCTGGGTTCAATCCCAGTCGGCGCCGCCGGGATGTTCTGAGGCATAACATCTCTGATCAAGGGAAGTAAAGCCGTTGGTCCCCGGTTCATGAGTTGATGTGTCTGATAGGTATGGCGTCGGTAGCATCGGTTCTCAACACGGAAAACAAATCAAGGGAAAAAAACAACCGTGGCCCAGTGGTATCGAACGTTGACAACGGCAGGCCAGCAATCCGGGATCAATTCCCAAATCAGATCCATTAAAAAAGGCATGTGTATGCCCTGCCCTTTGGCAGCTTTGTTTATATATTTGTCGATTCAATTTTGGAGTCGGTAAAGTAGAAGTCGATAAAGTAGACTATTGTAGAACATTGAACTATGATGTGCAAAGCTATTGATATCACCATGTGAGGCACATAGACTCCAAGTGTGTCACAATTCGTACCAATAGTGTTGAGGCATGGTTCACAGCATAAGATTCACACATGAAATAAATGTGTTTCACAATAAGTGCTCAATTAAGTGTAAGACACATGATGATATCGTGTGGAATTTTGTGTCACTAGAGTTAATTCATCTATTAGCTGATTTAGCGACATTAGAAAATTATCCCAAATTTATTATTAGTGATGGACCGAATAGTGCCATTTTGCCAGGTATTCGGCGTTTACACTAAAATGTTATCTGAAACTCGGCCTTTGCTCAGCTAACAAGTGGCCGACAAGGTGTCTGAGCGAAATTTCGAGAGTGCAACGCTTGATATTTGGCCTAAATATTCGGTGCATCACTATTATTGCGAATTTTGAAAAAAAAAAACAAAATTTCAAGACGGAAATGTTTCCTTTCTTTTTAATAACTTTATGAAATTTGTAGACTTTTTGCTTATTTTCTGTTTAGTTTTAAAACTTTCCTTTCAAAATTCCATAGAGTTCAGATCGGTTGTAAGACAAATGCTCAAAGTACAAAAAGTCGAAATGACAAAAGGTCAATACTACTGTGCAATATAATTTAACTTAAACGCAAGTTGAACAATACAACTAAAATGCTCAAAATTAATTTCGCTCTCTTCTTCTTATTATTTTCGATACCATCTTCTTTTAAAAGATAGCAGTTTTTTCAAAAATAAATACTATTGAACAATCTAACTCAAAATGCTCTAAATTAGATTTTCTTTTTGAAACATGAGCAGTTCTTTGACAGTTCAGTGCTATTGAACAACCTAACTGAAATTCGTGAAATTAATTTCTCTACCTTGGAGATGGCTCCTTCTTTGAAAAAATAGCAGTTCTTTGACACATGACTGCTATTGAACAATCTAACTGAAATACTCGATAGCCATTTCTCTCTCTTGAATATGACTCCTTCTTTCGCAAGCAGCACATATTCATGGAATTATTTTGAGCAAACTTCTTTACAACCAAACTTCATACAAAGGTTATATAAACTGTTATAGAACTTGAGTGTTGATTGGGTTATATCATAAGCAGTTCTTTGACAGGTGAAAGCCATCAACTGATTATTTAACATTTCTGTTTCATAATTCTTTATACATCTATTTCAATCCATCTACATAATAAAAGCAGTTTATTGTGATCTTCGTTTTGACACAATCAAATAAATAAAGAGATTTAAAGTTTATCGAATACTTGCAGCGTTACGAAAATGGTGAGTTGACAACCTGGAAGGAGCGGAATACCTAGCCCTGGTCCTCACAAGTTCCTACTTCACGCCTCCTCGAGTCATATGATAACAAAAGACTACCAGCTGAAACATGGACACAGCTGGTTGGCGTAGCCTGGGCAATGTTGCCAGTCCGGCAATAGCAAAGTGAAGAGGTGCGACGCGAACACTGGCGCGGTAACCATAGTACGGTGATAGAGGAAATGCTTCACCAAACCTGAGCGTCTGCTCACCATGGAGGTGCGGCTCAAAACGGCGTCTGTTCTCCATGTTAGGAGCGGCTGATCACCGTCCTAGTGCCAGCGTGGGACTCTAAACAGAGCTGTGCACGATGGTCCCCCGGCGAGACAGGGGGTTGGGGCAGGCCCAACAAGCCGCCCTAAAAAAAAAACAAAGTTGCAAATACCGAAGAAAGAAATACGGATCGGAACAATCGGCACAGACCTACGCGACGAAATAAGGACTACGATTGGAAACTCGGAACATGGAACTGCAAATCGCTCGGCTTCCCGGGTTGCGATAGGTTAATCTATGACGAACTTCAACCACGCAACTTCGAAGTCGTAGCACTGCAGGAACTTTGCTGGACGGGACAAAAGGTATGGAAAAGCGGGCATCGAGCGGCTACTTTCTACCAGAGCTGTGGCACCACCAACGAGCTGGGAACCGGCTTTGTAGTGCTGGGTAAGATGCGCCAACGCGTGATTGGTTGGCAGCCGATCAACGCGAGGATGTGCAAGTTGAGGATTAAGGGCCGTTTCTTCAACTACAGCATCATCAACGTGCACTGCCCACACGAAGGGAGACCCGACGACGAGAAAGAAGCGTTCTATGCGCAGCTGGAGCAGGTGTACGACGGCTGTTCGCAACGGGACGTCAAAATCGTCATCGGCGACATGAACGCTCAGGTAGGACGGGAGGCAATGTATAGACCGGCAATCGGGCCAAACAGCCTGCATGCCGTATCGAACGACAACGGCCAACGATGCGTGAACTTTGCAGCCTCCCGGGGTATGGTAGTTCGAAGTACCTTTTTCCCCCGCAAGGATATCCACAAAGCCACCTGGAGATCACCTGACCAACACACAGAAAACCAAATCGATCACGTTCTAATCGACGGGAAATTCTTCTCCGACATTATCAACGTCCGCACGTACCGCAGTGCGAACATAGATTCGGACCACTACCTAGTTGCAGTATGCATGCGCTCAAAACTCTCGACGGTGCATAACACACGTCGAAGTCGAACGCCACGACCCAACATTGAGCAACTACGGGACACCGGAGTTGCCCAGGACTACGCGCAGCAGCTGGAAGTTGCACTACCCACGGAAGAGCAGCTTGGCGCAGCTTCTCTTGAAGATGGCTGGAGGGACATCCGTTCAGCCATAGGTAGTACTGCTGTAGCGGCACTAGGTACTGCAATCCCGGACGGAAGAAATGACTGGTTTGACGGCGAATGCAAACTGTTAGTAGAGGAGAAGAATGCAGCACGGGCGAGAATGCTGCAACACCGCACGAGATTGAATGTGGAGCGATACAGACAAGCGCGGAACAGACAAAACTCGGTTTTCCGAAGGAAGAAGCGTCAGCAGGAAGATCGAGATCGCGAGGCGATGGAAAATCTGTACCGCGTAAACGACACACGGAAGTTCTACGAGAAGCTAAATAGTTCGCGCAAAGGCTACGTGCCGCAAGCCGATATGTGCAAGGACTTGGACGGTAACCTTCTCACGAACGAGTGTGAGGTGATTGAGAGGTGGAAGCAGTACTATGACGAGCACCTCAACGGTGAAGCAGCAGAAAACGAAGGTGGCACGGCAACAGACCTTGGAGCACGCGCAGAAGACGACAGGCTACCGACCCCTGATCTTCAAGAAGTTGAGGAGGAGATCGGTCGGCTGAAGAACAACAAAGCAACTGGTGTAGATCAACTACCAAGTGAGCTATTGAAATACGGTGGTGAAGCACTGGCTAGAGCGCTGCACTGGGTAATTGCCAAGATTTGGGAGGAGGAGATATTACCGGAGGAGTGGATGGAAGGTGTCGTATGCCCAATCTACAAAAAGGGCGACAAGTTGGATTGCTGCAACTACCGTGCGATCACACTGCTGAGCGCCGCCTACAAGGTACTCTCCCAAATTCTATGCCGCCGTCTGTCACCATATGCAAGAGAGTTCGTGGGGCAATACCAGGCGGGATTCATGGGTGCCCGCGCTACCACGGACCAAATTTTCGCGATTCGGCAGGTTCTGCAGAAATGCCGCGAATACAACGTGCCCACACATCATTTGTTCATCGATTTCAAATCCGCATACGACACAATCGATCGAGATCAGCTATGGCAGATTATGCACGAGTACGGATTTCCGGATAAACTGACGCGATTGGTCAAGGCGACGATGGATCGAGTGACGTGCGTTGTTCGAGTATCGGGGACACTCTCGAGTCCCTTTGAATCTCGAAGAGGGTTACGACAGGGTGATGGACTTTCGTGTCTGCTGTTCAACATCGCGTTAGAAGGTGTGATCAGAAGAGCTGGGATAGACACGAGTGGCACGATATTCAGGAAGTCCATCCAGCTCCTTGGTTTCGCCGATGACATTGACATTATGGCACGGAACTTTGAGATGATGGCGGAAACGTACATCAGACTGAAGGCTGAAGCTAGACGGATTGGACTTGCCATCAACGCATCAAAGACAAAATATATGAAAGCAAGAGGTTCTAGGGAAGACAATGTTAGCCTCCCACCCCGAGTTCAGATTGACGGTGACGAAATCGAGGTGGTCGATGAGTTCGTGTATTTGGGCTCACTGGTGACCGCCGAAAATGATACCAGCAGAGAAATTCAAAGACGCATTATGGCAGGGAATCGTGCCTACTTTGGACTCCGGAGGACGCTCCGGTCGAATAAAATTCGCCGCCGCACGAAGTTGACTGTCTACAAGACGCTGATTAGACCGGTGGTCCTTTACGGCCACGAGACCTGGACTATGCTCGTGGAGGACCAACGCGCCCTTGGTGTTTTCGAACGGAAGGTGTTGCGTACCATCTACGGTGGAGTGCAGATGGATGACGGAACGTGGAGGAGGCGAATGAACCACGAATTGCACCAGCTGCTGGGAGAACCATCCATCGTCCACATTGCAAAAATTGGGCGACTACGGTGGGCTGGGCACGTCGTAAGAATGCCGCACGACGACCCAGTGAAAATGGTTCTAGAAAGCGACCCAACAGGAACAAGAAGAAGAGGCGCGCAGCGGGCAAGGTGGATCGACCAAGTAGAAGGTGACCTGCGGACCCTTCGCAGACTACGAGGCTGGCGAACTGTGGCCATGGATCGA